CACTTAAAAGACACTGAAGATGTCCGTTAAATTTGATATTTATTTGCAAATAACCAAATAAATAAAGGAAATGCTGTTTAATCATCCACATTTAAAATTTAAAGTTAACTTTACTTGCACTGATAGTAATCAGCTGCCAGCATGAGTCCGTATTACGTTATTCTTAACATATATGCCTGTAATTTAGAAAATGCATTTTTGTAATAAAGTGTGGAAATAATGATAGTGGAAGAGGAAAAGAAAAATGAAAAATCTTTGGCGGAGAAAAAGGATATACGTCAAATAATAAAAATATGTTCTTTTTTATAAAAAATGTATTTCTATATAAATGCATATAATAAATATAAATGCATGTAATAAATGTATTTTTATATAAATGCATGCAATAAAATATTTTTACGAAATAATTTATACAGCAATAAGTAATATATCTCATTCTTTTCCTTTTTCAATATAACTGTGGTCTTCTTTTCAGTTCTTGTAGCAAAGGTACAAAAATCATATCATTATTATCACGGTGAGTTTGGACGGAGCCCTCAAATGTCAGAAATACAAAAAACGTATCATTATTATCGGGGTGAACGCGAAAGAAGTTCCACATTATTATTAATTTGAAAATTTGACTTGGAAATTATTTTTTAAGTTAAACTATTCTAAATGTATTAACCTAAAAACAATTCACTTGTTACGTTCCTTCAGCGCAGATCGGACCCTGAACTACCACCGGTTACGACGAATGGATGTTCCCTCGGGTAGGCTCCATGCCTAGACCGACTATTGGACCTCAAACTCAGCCCAGACCTCAAGTGGACCTCGTATATACGATCCACCCCTAAAGACGCAGGAGAAAAATAGTTGGTTCATTGTACGGCTCCAGTAAATACCTGATTGCTAGTGCTATCCTGTATATTTACATGATCTTGATAATGCCTAAAATGAAATAATGCTGTCATATTTGGGCTGGAGTTGCCCAGTCCTCACTTTCCAGTCTCGATAGAGTTCAAAAGCGTCATTGCGTTCTTGTAGATGACAAATCGTTTTCGACCCTGCAACCCCTCTCTCACAGACGAGATGTCGCAAGCCTGTTACTGTTCTATCGTTACTTCCACAGAGAGTGCTCTGACAAACTACATTATTTAGTGCCACCAGTTCTAACCTTCCCGCTATGCTGCGCACATTGTAGAGGACCCCCCTCATTCCATCCGCATTCCATTATTCTTCTCAAGCAGCTTCTTCCCGCGAACTACTGCTCTGTGGAACTGACTCACAAGAGAATGTTCTCTCGATCACAACAATCTTAACCTGTTCAAGTGGATAAAGGCGTTGGTTAGATCCAGTGACAGGACCCAAAGAATGTGATTTCAATTCCCGGTTAAGGCAGTGGAGGACTTGGAGAGGGGAATTAACAGGAGATAACTGATAACTAACATCCATTAAGACATGGCATGTGGAACTAGAACAGTCTACCCCAGCGAGCGAAATAAAGGGTTCAGTTCGACATTCCAACCACCTGAAAAAGGTCGGAGCGTACAATGGTCAAAACGTTGTAATAAATATGGCAACAAAGATGAGGACAATAGTCCGAATAATGTAAATAGTGTACATAATACCTCATCTCAGAAATATAGACAGATACTCAGTTATTGCTCGCCCTTTTCTCACTTAGTCTAGGTACATACTGTCCTGCTCGGGAATTGAACTCACAATTATTATGTAAGGTGAACAATAACTGAGCAGTACTAAAAATAAGAACTAGACGGGATATCCCTAGACAGGGCAGTAGAATGAGAACAGTCTACCCGTGTGAATTTAATAAAGTGTTCATTTCGCAATTCCCTGACTGATGGCTGGAGCGTACAAGGGTGGAAACGTTTTTATAACAACAAAGTTGAGGACAATACTCGAAATGTAAATAGTGCAAATAATGATAACTCCTCATCCAAGAAATTCAGACAGAAATTATGGCTAAATAAATATTTGACAACGGACGCCTACCGTGATTGCAAATTACTCTCGCACGTTAATGCGGGTGAATTCGTTTCTTGAAACATTCCCAATCATCATATCCCTGTGACAAACTAATCTAGACAGTGAGAACATATTTAAGATACTTACTGTAGAGGGATGATTATCCAGTGGGGCCTCGGCGTTGGGGTCCAGGATTAGCAAGGCTGGTCTAACTGACCATTCCTATTATGTAGTGAGTTCGATCCACTGTGAGTGGACATTAAATAAACGAACATATTCCTGGTTATGGCGATAAATTAAATCCGGCTGCAAGGCCCCTGATCGTAGATTAGAGGTTTTGAGAATCATGGAACCGCCTCTTAACTGCTATTATTCCTAGGTCGAACTGACCCGGCGTGGTAACACCTTTTAGGGTCCCAGATATGGGCAAATAGTTATCCCCCAACAAAAAGCAAAATCCTATAAAAGTATAGAAATATATTTTATTAGTTAAAAATACCAGCAATGTATTTTACATAAAAAATTACCAATGAGAGAACTCTTTCATGATATTAATCCCTATAATGTCTTACAGTTTGTTTAAGAAATCAAACTGTATTCCAAAATATAATTTTAACAAAACTACAACATAAAACACATATCACTGCCTCTAGTAATTATGTCCACACAAACATATATATATGCACAAAAGCTGAGTATCATCTACCATGTATTCAATTGTGAAAGCAGAATAACATATATCATATTTTTATTACTTCAAAGCTCTCAAGAAAATTAAACTTCGGCATTAAATGACTTATAAAGAGTTGATAAGCCGTTAAACAAACAAATAAAATCAAATAAATTACCAACCGCTGACTTGTAAACCAATATCTACCTAACTTAGCCTAACTCATTATCCCGCTCCTGTTGTAAACCGTTGCTAAGAAAATTTATATTGGGATGACTTTGCTTCCTTAATGTTAAATATCTATGTACACAATTCTATATTAATTGTTTGAGATGAAGAATTATCAATATTTATTCGAAATATTGTTGTTATTTTCATTATTATAGATATTTTTAGAGACATAACGTTTCGATCAAATGCCTCTGATCACCATCAGGTTTACATTATTTAGCTGATATCAATTTATTTTTTTTTTTTATATTTAGAAACATTCTGAAATAAGATCTCTTTAAATTTGATGTAAGATTTACATACGGCATTATAATGAAAATTTTGACTAAAGGGTTTTATTGAAACCAATACTCTGTTTTACAAAATACTCAAATAGATATACAAATTAATATTCACCATTATTATTTAAATTATTTTAATTCTGTAATATCATTTCTTGCCCTTTCTTGCTACCGTTTCACCATCCGATACAGTAATTGAACTCATGACTACCCGCTGGCAGTAATACAGGCTTAACCATCCACTACACTATAGAACGTCATTTGACTATTTCTAGAATTCTGAAGTCAGGCTTCGAAGTTTGGATATAATGGTGGGCTTGTAACGAAAATTGTGTTTAATTTCTGTGATTAAGAATTGTCAGTATATCTCACTTAGGGATTCATCTACTTTGATTTAATTTAATCAAATCAAAGTAGAGGAAATCCTCGATTAGAGTGGCTAATTTGAATATCAGTAAGTATTAAAAAATGAATTTTCAATTATTATAGTTAAACAGAAGAATGTTTTACCGCACTAATCGAGTATTATGTATGCACTAATTTTAGATTCTATATTTCAGCAAACTAATCGAAAGCCCATTAATCGAACGCGCATTAATCGGGGAATGTCTATATATCTGCTTGAAGTTATGTGGTAGATCAGATTTGCAAATTACGTCCATTATATTCAAGGCAAGCCAAAGTTTCAGCTGCGCGAATTTTCAGATCATTTTCTGCAGAATTTAAAATTCGACAGATTCTATTGAGTCACCCGAGACAGTTTGTATTGAGCCTTGCTGGTTGAGGTTTATGATTTCAGTTTTCTAAACGGAGATTCTTTCACGCCATTACTCGGACATCAACTCTAAGCCTCGAATCTAAGCTTGATGAAACTTACACTCAGATGCAGATAGCTATACGTAACATCTCTTGGAGACAACATCCAATTAAATCACAGCTCTATGGACCCATCCCTGATATTTCTAGAATCTGATCTGATGCGTTTTGCAGGACAGTTCTGGTGAGCAAAACAAAAACTTGCGAGTGATCTACTGCTCTGAACACCTAGTCATGGCGTAAAAAGGCCCAGCAACAATTCATATTGACCAGCTATGTTATGACACCCTAATGACCTTCCGACATTGATGCATGTACATGATGGTTGGCGTAAATAGACTCATAAATGTCCGAGCTAGCTCGACCGAATAAAATAAAATATCAATAAACCTATTTGGCAAAATAGGTTACTGATCTCATTTAAACCTGTTAGACAACATTTTTCTTTCGTAGATAAAACTCTTAACAAATTTAAAATGGTCGCATTTTCAGATTTTTTTTTAATCTTAAAGACAAACAACTTCAATCATTCGTGATGATCGAAATATCAAATGTATTTGACAAAATAAATCATTTTCCCGTCGCTTATTTTAAATAATTGTTTAACCTCTAACAGATTTTTTATTGCGATCTCTTGTGAACTGTTCTATTCCCATTTAGTTCAATTAATTCCCCAGCTCCTGCCGAATTCGAGTCTACCACTCAGCTTTCCAGACTGCAAATCAGTTTGAATAGGCTCGCATCATAATTTGTCAATAAGGTTTTCAAGTAAACGGCGTGACAAACGCCCGACAGCCTCCTCGTCAAATTGCTTAAGCAACAAAGTCACAATGTTGAGGTGTCGGAGAGAGGACTTTTCAAGCAAAGAGAGAAATAAGTGTGGCAGTAGGTGGGGTTGTAGTCGGAGTTAATTAGGGACCGCGCCCCAGCATACACCTTAGCAATGAGCTGAATACTAGATGAAGGCCGACATTATCACGTGATGTCAACTGAGAGAATTGTTCATCAGTTTTAGCCAGTCGTCTCGCGTGAACATGACAGCCTCTCACTTCCGGATCGGCACATTCAGCTATGACGGCACGCACACGCCCGCAAGCGTTTCTGTTCACTTTCTACAGATACTTTTACTTTTATTTGCCTTGTCCGACATTTTTCTTCATTTTTCTGTAAATTCAAATGACCATTCAATTTACTCTTTCTGTTTTTTTCTTTTTTCTTCACTTTCACTATTTTTGTTTCATTTGCCCTCTTTTTTCTCACATTTTCTTCATTTTATTATTTTTTGTTTCGTTATTTGTTCATTCTTCTTCTCTCTCTCTCTCTCTCTCTCTCTCTTTCTTTCTTATTTTTTGTCTATTGTTTCATTTTGCTTTCTTTCTTTTCTTGATTCACTCACTTTCTCCTTCGTCTATTTTTTATCTTTTATTCTTTATCTTTTCTTTTTTCCTTTCGTTTTCCTTATTAAACGATTGTACCTTTATTCCTACTCTATGTTTGACAGCCATTTTTATTCAGATTTTGTTTTGCATTTTTATACTTTTTATTCTTCCAACAGCCTTTACTTGAGCTTTGTCTTTATTCCCTATTTTTTTCGTATCTTCTTTATGATTGAATTTATTTCTAATGTAATTCCTCTCAATTTTCATTCGCTACGAATATTACATTATTATTATTATTATTATTATTATTATTATTATTTACAGAAATATGCACTTAAGTTAACATTGAGGACAGTGTGACAGCAGGTTATCAAAAAACTTCAATTCTAACCAGTATTTTCGCTGACTTCTCTTACTTCAATTGTATCTGTTCTTCTGATTCTAAGCACTTTCAATCGCTTTGCAATGTTTATAGAAACTAGTCCTAGTTCTTAAATGATTGTTTCATAACACATTTTTCTCGGTTCTAAAACAATGTCTTGATATATATATATATATATATATATATATATATATATATATATATATATATATATATATATATATATATCAAGACATATGTGTATATGTATATTCAATATATGGTAAACTGGAATATTAGCATTGTCATGACTATTCATAGAGTTTCTATTCCTAGTTCTTACGTGAATATTGTTATGACCCTTACTTTCATAACACATTTTCTCGGTTCTCAAGCAATATCTATATCTATCTATCTATCTATCTATCATATATATATATATATATATATATATATATATATATATATATATATATATATATTAAACTGGAACATTACCATGACTATTAATAGAGTTTCTATTCCTAGTTCTTACGTGATTTTGACCCTTACTTTTAAACGTCGGTTTGCAATATCTATATCTATCTATCTATCTATCATCTATCTATCTATCTATCTATCTATCTCTCTCTATATATATATATATATATTAAACTGGAACATTACCATGACTATTAATAGAGTTTCTATTCTTAGTTCTTAAGTGATTGGTTTTCGTTTTGTTTACCACCCGTTATGTTTTGTCTCTTAGATTGAAACTAAAAACCAAGTACTACAAATACTTCAGTGTCTGGATCTGTTATAGCAAATTTAGTTTAGGAGGTATGTAAATTGAACATAGAATAGGCTTCGCTCGGGATAGTTTCGCCCAACCCTGCAAGTTGCCACAAAACATTAACTAAGAACTCGAAGCACTTACTTTAATAGCTTGCTTGCATGTCTCTTAACTCGTTCAGAAATGCCGAAACTCTCCACTGTATATATCCGCCTTCTCGGATCAATAATTAAAACTGGCTTCGAGCGAATGAACCCTGTAGGTCTTTGGGAGGACCATCATTCATCGATGTTCGTGAACTGGCGCTACAGGAATCACAAACAAATGACCACATCAATTGAAAATTTTAAACAGCAGCAGCAACGACGGAATGAATAGCACATCTAATTCGTAGAGAAAATAATGACATATGATGTTGATGTTCCACACTACTTCAAACGAAAGGTTAGGAAGGAAACCTCCATCAATACTGGAAATACTGATAACTCGAGAAAACTATTTTCCTGAAAAGTTATTTCAAGCGAAAGATTCTATCAATTCCAACTGAAAGTAGCACTGGCTGTTCGGTCAATAAATACCAAATGTTTCCTTATAAGGAAACGGCGAATGTCATTATCATTCTCAGCAATAGCTTATGGTTAATTGCTGTTATGATTATTTCATCAATTTACTGTTCACACTAGGTATTTAGTGGTTATCGCTGGAGATCGTGTGACAGCAAGTCTTCCTAAAACTCCAATATGCTCCAATATGTCTTTATGCTCGCAGACAACAGCAACGTCTTTCACTGAAGATTTTCAATTTTTTTTTCGAATTCTAAATTCATCTAACATAGTGTCCAATGTTTTAGCCACTGTGGAACTATTACAGAAACTGCCCTAAACTAGTGACTTTTTAATTTCGGCTTTCCTTTTTAATTTTCATCCTATGGGCCACTAACACAACCAAGTCTGCGATGCGTTTGATCATCTTATTTTTGTTTACGATGGACACATGGACTTTTGTTTGGATCACTATTATAATTTTTATTATTATTGCCTTTTATCCCAGCTTCACAGATATGTTCTTCTTCAGCTGAACAGAAAGTTTCTACTCCCAACCTCAGATATTCAGTGCATATATCAGAGTCCTCTCGGTTGCTAGAAAACAGGCTTTTTGCAAGTGGATGATTGGTTTGATTTCATGAAGCCAATTATTGAACTCTTTACAGATAGACCTTAAATCTTTTATATATTTGATAATCACAGTCACCTCGATACACTTTCAGATAAAGGACACATGGCACAGTGGATAAAGGCGTTGGTTCGATCCAGTGACAGAACCCAAATAGTGTGAGTTCAATACCCGTTTAAGGCAGTGGAGAGCTTGGAGATGGGAATTAACAGGACATAACTGATAACTGACATCCATTAAACATGGTATGTGGAACTAGAACAGTCTACCCCAGTGAGCGAAATAAAGGGTTCAGTTCGACATTCCAACCACCCGAAGAAGGCCGGAGTGTATAAATATGGTGACAAAGATGAGGACAATAGTCCGAATAATGTAAATACTGTACGTAATACCTCATCTCAGAAATATAGACAGATACACTTTCAGATCCTCTAAAATTTTCATTCAGAACCGCTCTCGGTGCCCTAATAAAAACTGGCATGACTGTTACATTCTTCAACTCCCCGACTTTTGGCAAGATCGCTAAACATACCTATCTTTCTTTCCTCTCTTTCAGATCTTCTCGGTGTCTGCTGGAATAATGAAATCTACTACCTGACATATTTTAATTATACCAAATCCGCCCTTCTATCAGGTCATCCCGTAAGTTCTGTCCGAATTTTAACTTTTTGTTAAAATGAACGAAATTTAAAGAGTATTTTATAATGTCTAATGGAGTTGAACATTATTTTTATGTTTAGATGCATTTAAACTGATCAAATTTTATTTCAGAGAACAATAAAATTAATTTTTGTTTGATTAAAACCCTGCTAACATGGAAGTACCCAAGAATCATTTGAGGCACATAATGCTTTATGAGTTCAAGAAAGGAAACTCAGCAGCCGAAGCGGCTAGAAACATTCACTCAGTTTATGGAGAAGAATGTGTGAATGAAAGAACTTGCAGAAGATGGTTTGAAAAATTCAGAGGTGGATATTTCACACTTGAAGATGAAGATCGGACCGGACGTCCAGTTGAGTTTGATGAAAAGCTTCTTGAAGCAGCCCTTGAAGAAAATCCTGCTTTATCAGTTGAGGAATTGGCAGTGGTTCTCAGTTCAAACCATACAACTGTTCATCGTCATCTTCAACAACTTGGAAAACTTCCTAAACTTGGAAAAAAATTTTTTTTTAAAACAACCTCAAATCCCGAGTTGACATCTGCTCTTCTCTCCATTCTCGCCAACTTTTTTCACCTTTTTTGGATAGACTTGTGACCAGCGACGAAAAATGGATCTTTTATCGAAATGTTAAGCGTCGTAGACAGTAGCTTAGTAAAGGGGAAGGACCCCAGCCACAACCGAGAAGGGAACTTCTTGGGCAAAAGGTTCTTCTTTCAATCTGGTGGGATCGCCAAGGAATAATCCACTTTGAATTCTTACCACCTAATGCAACAATTAATGCTCAAATATACTCTCATCAATTAGAGCGTTTGAACCAAGCTTTGAGGAAAAAACGACCTGCTCTAGTGAATCGAAAAGAGGTGATGTTTCATCAGGGCAATGTGCGACCCCACACAGCAAGAATCACGTCACAAAAGATCGAAGAACTTGTTTGGGAGAAAATTCCTCATCCACCTTATTATCACAATCTTGCTCCTTCAGACTACTATTTGTTTCATTGCTTACAGAATCATTTGGAAGAAACAGCCTTTGTAACATAGGAAGAGGTTAAAACTGACATTTGTGAGTTCTTCGAATCAAAGCCAAAAGAATTTTACAGTAATGGAATTAGTAAGTTTGTTAATAGATGGAAGGAAGTCATAGATAATCAGGGAACATACATTGTGGATTGAATCTGTAATTAAATGTAACATTTGGTCACTTGTTTTCTGTATTCAAAATTCGGACAGAACTTATGGGATGACCTGATAGATCGTGTGATCTATTTTAATTTCAAAGCAAGAAAGAGTTCATTATTATTATTATTATTATTATTATTATTATTATTATTATTATTATTATATCCTTTGATTTCTGGTGTATACTCATTTCTTTCCGGGTCTCAACCAGAGACATAAGATCAGAAATGGCATCATGACATTTTCCACTGAGCATTTTCTGAGGAAAAGAACCTAAGATCACAAACATTTTACATAGATAAAGCTCTTCGTAATGTTGTGGGCTGTACTTGTGTGTACATTTTTTGTTATATTTCTTTAAAGCTTCGGCTACCGGGAATCACTTCGATGAGTCCATCGGAACCTTTTCCAATCAATCCGAGGGCTCCACCTACAAATTGAATTGTTCATCTCCTCATGTACCTCATTTTTGAGATTTCGATTTCAAGGTCCTTGTATTTTTATAGTTTTTGAAGATCTTCAAAGATACTTTACAGTCTGCAGGGGTTGTCATCTTAATAAGAAGGCACATTTTGTTATTTTCGTCTCTGATCACGATGTTATTATTATGATTATTATTATTATTATTATCGTGGTTCCATGAAATTTCGCAAAGCTCTAACTATACGCTTTAACTGCAAACTGTCAGTAACTAAAATTAACTTTATTCAAATCTTGTCGAATGATATATGCAGAGCGTAGCAGCTTTCGGCATAAAAAATGCCGTTCTATTTGCCTTGGACAAACAACCTTGTGGGGAAAAATAATTGTTTTCCTCTGCCCATCAGATGAGGGGTTAATATCAGGATATTCTGTGCACACTAGCCTTGGTTGACAACCAATCTAGGAGAACAACAACCAACCCTACTTACTACGGAATCCACAGCAACATCTACCGAATCATGAGTATAAATATACGGGATGATCGAAAAGTAAACCCCTATTTCAGGTATGAGTTTCTATACTGGACTTCTGACTTTAACACCCTGTGACTTTTCTTTGGGGTTGGTTAAAGGAGCATGTCTACTATACCAAACCAAGACTTTGGAAGAACTTCAAAGGCGAATACAAGAAGTTATGTCTTCCATACTACAAGTGTTCCTGGTGAAATCAGTTTACACGATTCCTGGGTGACTCGTGGAGCTGGTAGTGAAATCTGATATCGAATTCAAATAAAACCTTATGCTAAACGCTTTCCTCACATATCCATTTCTTTTAAAAATTATAGTTAATAAATAAATTATAAGTAAAAGGGAGTTACTTTTCATCCTGAAGTTGTGAATTTCATTACATTTTTAATTATGCTTTTTAGGAAGAATTCCTTCATATGATTCATATAACTGTTTTTTTAAAGTGTCGATTGATTTAAACAACTTTAATAAAAAAAAAAATGAAAGTTTTTTTTAATAATTTCACTACGTAACTCAATAAAGCAGCCAAAATGCAAGGGAAATTGATGAGTGTGAGAGAATATGAGGAAAAGAAAAACATTATTAAGGAGACAGAACAATAACAAAACAGGAATTAAGAAAACAGAAGATTGACATTTCATTTACATTTTTGAAAATCAGATTTGACTGGAAAGCAATTATCCAGAAGAGATAAGACGTTTCTGCCAATCTAGTTGTACGTTTAAATACAAAAGGCCTAGTTACCAAAGAGGAAACCTCATCAGAACAATTACTATGAAAATATTTATAGAAAAGACACAGGGAAGCTACCTTACGGTGAAGAGAAAGTGACTGAAGCAGAGATACCAGGTTAGGATTGCAGATTCTTTTATGAGTTCTATCAAGAATCACAGGACCAGGTGTGATAGCAATCTTCAATGCATGGACAAATGGTAAACTTATTAATTTATGTCAAGAAATATTATC